CAGTAAATTCCCGCACGTCTGATATGTCAAGTTTGATAGCCTGTCAAAGCATATCAAGACTGGAACGCCTGCGAGACTGATCACCAGCCGAAGATTGTTGGGATTACATATGTCTACAGGATTGAGCAAACTTCGCCGAGCATCATCTGGACTTGGGACGGGCCGTGAAAGCCCAGTCTAGTCTCATTCAAGAGATTCGTTGGGCCAGCACACTGGTTCTTGATGTTTCATTCCGTATTGGGAATAAGCCCGTCTGGCCGAGGAAGTGCCCTGCGTCCATGGCCATGATGCAATTTCGAATCGGTGAATGCGAATAATGCATACTGGAACCCAATCTGAAGGTTTCTTTTGCACACTTGTCAGCCGATGAGCAGTAGTTTGTTTTCTAACTGGTTACTTTTTTAAAAGCCTTGTTTGGATTGCTTTTAACCATTTCAGCTCCAACATTGACTCGCTGCCTCAGGTACGGCTGCATTGTACACATGGATCTATCTCCATAGATAATCGCAGTGCTCTTATACGGTGTGCCGCTATGGAGTGAGACTCGTCCACCTAGACGCCACGTTGCCGGGGTCGGGACTTTCCTCGGGTCCAGCGCTAGGAACATTGTCGTTTGTGGGTCCGCTGCGTCCCCGGTCTTGGTACTTTTAGTGAACAGGCGGTTTGTTTCAGCGATCGAGGGCCAGGGGTCTGTCTCGCCCGATCTTGGGTTGCTTCGTGAGGTTGCTCCCGGTAAACGTCAGTGTACCCTTCAAAACGCTGACGGTTGAAACAACCCATCGGCTCAATGTTTTAGTGCGAGTCGACCAAAGGACTTCCTATACGAGCAATCGTTGCTGCTATTTCTAATTTTGGAATCCTGGAGCACTTGTCCAACTTGACCGGCACAACGCGGCACACTCGATGGCTACGTTGTGCGCATGAGAATGACGAGAATAGTCCATCTGATGATGAAGATAATGATGGGATCATTGTGACCTTGTAGTCTTCAGTGACTCATTGCAACTGTTTCTGCCGGACGCCACTTGAAGTAGACGAGGTGTGTGTGGCGGCGACAAGCAGGATTCGAGAGTGTCGTGGTCCCACGGCAGCGCGCCTGTGCATACCCCAACTGCCACTGCAGCGCAACGCCGAGGCCGAACAAGGCAATACGCTATTCCCAACAAGAGGGCCACCGTGTCGCGGCCCGAAAGATGCATAAAGCCCGCGTCAAGTTTCCAGCACGGCATCGTCCGCACTGCACGTAAGCGTGGCTGACGTGGGGAACAAGTTGCTCACCTGAGCATCGTTGGTGTGCCCAGCTGTCGTCTTTCGGTTGCCAGGCGGCCGCTCAATGTGGCGCTGATGTTCCAGCTTAGGTTGAACGTTGCAAGGCAGCAGATATTTTGTCTTGAACTCTCCGAATTCGAAAAAGCCTGACAACACGCGACGAGCCACGGAGCCCCGTCAGACAGTCATTTTCCTTTTCAACGTGGTCATTATTGGATTGTCGGACTTTTATATCTTGCTGCTAGTCGCAAGTGATTTCAGTGAAGTTGAGCCTGGCTGTAAAATGCGCTGTAAACATGGTTTTCGAGGTTGCATTGTGCTACGATATTAGGTTCAGTGCTGCGCGGTCTGAAATTCCTACCCGTTCCCGGCAGCAACTTAGTCAACAAGGTTTGTCGATCTGATGGCAGAGTATAATCAGCCTCTAGCTCCCGCGCATGCATCTTGTGAAGATACTGAGTTTGTGAGTAGGAGAGGAAGGGACATTGATAACCCAGATCGAAAGGCTTTATTTCGGCCGCCGCGCGAGAAGGAGCCCGGGCGGGGGGAAGTTGGCTATATTCGCACAACACAGTCTTGCCCTCTCCATCCTGCCTCCTTGGCCGTTTTGAATTGACTTGGTGCTCAGCGAATGACAGTCCCAAGGAAGAATAAGATTCTGTGACGCTCTAGGATTGCACCTTCAATCTAGTTCCGGAGGCAATTGATCTAGAGAGACTGTGATACAAAGTACCTGATCAATAAGTATCCCCGTATCGTTCTGTATAATTTGAATGTGGTTCTATGTAGGCAAGGAATAGGTGCAAATGCCACTTGATAATAAAAAATACAGGACCAGCGGTAATATGAGGGTTGAGACTCGTTCAATACAGTACGCACTCTTCTCCAGCATTACAAGCAAAGGGCCGAGAACTCAGCATGTGTTACTCTGTACGATGTATTCAGCTTGAACTAAGCTCTTGGGAAAACACAATGATTTTGTTCACAATTCAGATTGGAACTCATTTCTAATGAATTGTAAACACCAGAAGCTTTTCTTTGATACCTCTGTGTATGTGATTTATATCATCTCGGACACGGAAAGAGGAGGGTGCGAAATCTTGCAAGAAATCGGAAAACATCAGGAGTCACAAGCTAATACCTGCATAACATGATATGACCTTGGATCAGTCAGGCGAACATACCGAGAAAGATCTCTACGGTGTCTGACAATGATTGAGCAGTGAGTGGTTGATGCACAGACCCAGAAATACATCTTTTTACGGCCAACGCACTTTGAAAGTACCGAAAAATTACCTTTCTTGGTGCAAACCTGCATTTACTTTGATCAGCAGAGAAAGATGCGTCGAAGATGTCCTTCATGATTTTTAGGAAACTCCCCGACCAAAGTCCACTACGAAACTACCTAATTACGCAACCCAGGCGCTTCTTTGACCTAAATTCTGAACACATCAAGTAGCCTTTGGGTGTATCTTGATGCTTCTAGATAGTATTGAACTTCGGCGTCGGTGTTGAACCCACTTCATCATGTGCAAGTGCTGAAATTTGGTCGACTCTGTATGAGTACCTACATCCGGGCGCCGAAGATCGTCCACGTCCCACATACCGGGAATTTCCCACATGAGCTACCTATTTAATAGCATAATTTTGCACGGAAAGCATCTCAAGGCACCCTTTTGCCTTCTCTAGGTTGTCCAGGGTCTCACTCACGGCATCATATTCCGAAAGGAGAACGTGGAACCGACCTCGGCAAGCCACCACAGCCAGGCTACTTTGGGCTCAAGCTCCAGCATATTTCTGCAATTTTTGAGACTCAATTTCTCCAGGCATAAATTATGGTGCCTCCATGAATAAGAACGAATGAACATGCCTAAAGTAGGTATATCCGATGCGACACAATAAAGGATCCGCACTAGACGCATCGCCAGTGGCGTAGGTGTTAAAACCCATATTCAATCAGCCGTACGTGATGGAATAAACTTTGTCTACTAGATCACTTGTGTCTAAAGTCTTCGTATTTGAGTTATCGCAAAAAGTAGGTAATTGCGATGACAATGATATTTGAAACCCGGACAAAGTCTAAATGACATTACTTGGTCCAATCGTGAGTTTTTTTTTTTTTTTCGATGCTCGCTCGATCAACTGAACTGTCCTCTCCCAGTGGAGAACATGTGAGCCTAGTTTCTGAACCATGTCATACATGAGCGGCCAAGGGTGAGATTGGAATATGGCAGCTTCTCAAACGATTAGTTGCTGAGGTTGTGGGCAATCTATATGACGCAAGCGGGCGAGAAGAACAAGATTTCAATAGTGTCAGACGTGTGACGCAAGTTCCGATGAGGCAATGGGTTAGACCAGTGGATCGAGGCCGAGGCCCATAAATCCATTATTATATTCGATCATCGAATAGCGGCTGAGCCATCTTTTATCGTTTCGGACAACTCAAGCACCAAGTGGCGTCCCGAAATATCATCGATAGGGCTAGGCTGGCGAATATAACAAGAGATCTGCTGGTCCACGTCAAATGACTGACTAGCTCTGAGTTGGCATTGTGTGCGGCAAAAACTAGAGTAGAAGCCTTCGCGAAATTAAACTGAACTAATGGGCTACGTATTCAGGTGCCAGTAATTCCATTATGACTTTATATATAATCTCAGGACAGACAATAGGTATACTGGGAATTAAGGCTGCCCTGAGGCGTCCCGTAAAGTCCTGACTTTCGTCAAAAGTGTTCAGCTTGGTAAATAAATACACAAAAGAGCATACGAAGGCGGAGTATCATAGTACCAGGTCTGCATGAGTGTCTTTTAATGACTTGTAGAGGAAAAGTAATTTCTGCATAGAAATTTTCTTCGGCCGACAGTGAAACGAGGAAAGGTGTTTCTGCCCTGTACATGTCCTCAATGACCTGTCACTTTGGGAATCGGTCATAGATCGAGTAGATTAGCCTCTCTTGCAAGCTTCTTTTCATCTTTGCAGCGACTAAGTGGAAATTTGGTAGCCTGAGCTACATTGTTACCGATCCCAGGTTTTTCACAACGCAGAAATCAATGTAAAGGGGTCGGCGATGAAGCGAATGCGGTGCGCCATTGTTTGAGAAGATCCACTGGCGCAATATTTGTATTTTCAGATACCACAACCTATTCATTGTGATGTATGGTGGACTACTCACGATAGAGCAGACTGGACGTGCAAACTCGCTCAAAAAGGTCATCTTATACCTAAGTACAACACGCAGACAATCTCCAAGCCTGAATTTCGCATCTCATGCCGGGCCCAGACCTTTGGCCTACCAATTCAACCGTGGCTCCACAGAGGTGTACATGGTTTGTAACGCTTCATCAATAGAATTAAGTCGTGGCAACCGCTAGCAGTTGAATGGGTCTGTCATGGCGCAAGCCGAATAAAGCCATTAGGGAGGAGTCGTTGAAATACCTCGTAAGCTACGCTATAGCGTGGGACAACCCGTATCTACGAAGTTCACCGGCGCCTCAAAGCGAACAACTGCATTCCACTTGAGATTTTTTCGATGCCGATAATATTGGAAAAGATGGTGGCTAATCCACCTATGCGAAATATACGACACTTGTGTGGAGGTTGTATTTTATTTTCATCGTATTTATGGGGCAGGACGTGAATGCGGCCGTTGACAGGAAGACATGGAAAGGCTGTGTGGCTCAACGATTGAGAATATAGATTATGCCAAATTGTGGATTGTCATCAATTGAACCGCGCAAATGGTTTAGTGGTAAAATCCATCGTTGCCACCAGCAGGATTCGATGGGCCCCCGGTTCGATTCCGGGTTTGCGCATTTTTGACTTCTCTTTCAAAGGTCCGTTATAATTTTTTATGTCTTTGCTACTCATGTTAATATCTCAGAAGCTTCATCGAATAATATTCATAGGATACGAATCGTCATTGGGTCGGTAATTCTGTGTGTATTGTGCAGTGAGGCCCCCCCCCCCATTTTCAGCTTTTCAAACTGACTCAAGTCTGCGCGCCTATCACGGTCTTTTCTATGTATTGAACATTTCGCGCAAGACCAGCAAATCAGTAGCTGTACAACGTCGAGTTGTTGCCCGTTGACGATGTGAGTTACAACGAGGCAGGTTTTACTCATAGGAACGTCGTCGTATTGAAGACATAGTCAGCATTCCTCGTATACTCAACGTTGCGATATGCCCGCTATCGAAGCGCCGGCGCTGCGTCAACATCAAGGTTGACGTCGGGCGATAAAGCCACAAGAAGAGCGCTGTTGAATATCCATGCACATGAATCAAACTTTGCTGCAGCGCATCGTGCGAAACATTCTTAGCTCAATAGCTTCATTGGCCTCGATTTTTATAGATTTGGGTAATTATACTCTATCTGAAAACAGAGCTCAAGTTCATTGACGTACTGTGCTTGGCTTGCAGCTATTCTTAGAGTACAATTTTACAGTGTGATTATCCTCCGTAGGAAAGCCCATACTATGTTGATGTCTACGTTATCATTCTTTTCGAGCTTGTCAGTGGGGTTTGGTATGTATTAGATTTAGCTTGATCTTGTTGTAGAGATGGATTTGAATGCAAATGTAGTGTAGTAGTAAACCCAGAACGTGCAGCGCCATGATATAGTAGTCCGGTGTGCATAGCGAAGAGGCAATCATGAAGATCACTGACTGGAGAAGAGCTATTCATGTCTCTTGATGCACATTTATTCGGTGCTGGACGACGCCGTCTCAGTCTGTCGACTCTTTGTGAGTAATGCCGAATCCTCGAGGCTCGTAGTATCTCCACAGGTGTGTCGAGACTTGCATATATGGTAGTAAACCTCTGGAACTTTGAAATAAGCATTCTCTCTCTTGACGCAGGCAGTACCGTCATGGTACAGGATCAAGATGACAACACCGTATCCAATGGTCAAAGCATAGTCAGATCCGTACATCTCGTAGACGATCGTTTGAATATATGTAATTGACACGGTACATCTCTACACATACAGGAGGCTTGTCTTGGGTTTTAGCTATGAATTGTAATTAACTGAAAGCACTTAGCCAAGGTAAAAGCTCGCAACATGAACACATCAACGGCGCTATCAGAGCTATGTGTGACCGAGACGTTTGGGCCATTACACCACGCCAAAGCCGGTTATCCGCGCTTAGTCAATTGTATTGAGATTACCGTCTCCGGAGGTGTGTATTACGATCGCTTTTATCGAAATACTTGCCTAGGTACACGTGATATCTCGAGCACTGTGCAGCCCCTCCGTGCCCAAGGGAGCGCACAAGCAATCCATACTTCCCATCCCCCCCCCCGGCGCCGTGTTTAGGAAGTCTAGCCCCATTATTCATTTGATCACAGTCATACAATCGAGGAGCCCTCTATGGAATGTGACACAAGTTGTGGTGCATTTGGGAAGGAGTCAACATGTTCTAGTCCCCTGGTAGCCATCCATCCCGATGGACTTTTGTTGAGTCAAATTGGCCCAGTGGGGCAGGTGAGATATCACACAAGCCCAACAGAATATCACAATATACGAAATTCAATCATTGGAAATTCAAGGACTTCTCATCTTGATCCGGGATACTCATGAGCACTTGATATTGATATCTAGATTTACGCAGCCACTCTTGGCAGCTCTAGGCCTCACATAGGCATGTCAATTTATGCAAGACTTCTCTGCACGTGGAAAGACAGAGATGGAACATATTTCGAGATTCGATTCGAATATGTGACAGGTCGATTGCCAGGTGGCCAGGGAATCGCTTATGCTGTCAAGACCCCACTAAGCAGCCAATTAACAAAGCCTACATACGTACCTACGGTCACGGTGGACCCCGTAAAAACATGAACAGGGTCTGTTTTTGGACTAGCTAAAACAAATCACTTCCTATGAGGGTAGGTATTCTGTTCCAATAAGGTTACCAAATCGCCGGGCGCGGTTGTACCCCACAAAGAACAACGGGGCCGGTTCCCCTCGCCGCGCTGCCACACGCCTCGATGTTCTGGCCGCCTCAAACATGACTGATGAGAATGTGGACCAGAAGGCATGAATTTGTAGTACCCGAATATCCGGACAAAACCTGTAAGCAGCAGGTATCCTAAATCTAGACATGACTTGACAGGAGGTTCCACTTGCCAGCCCCCTTAGCCAGCTTCCTTGAAGGGAAATCGGATCCCGATGACATGTCACCCACCGAAACCTCGTACCTCAAGTCGGAATTCCCGATGAAATTTGAATAATTTCTATATATATATGCTGAAGGCATCGCCGTGGAGAGCGGGCTCTAAAAAAGGAGTAGTGCGAGCTTCCGCGATTCTGTCACTCTTTCCGTCTTTCGTTCGCTTTGGTCCAGGACCCAACGCTCACAAGATGAAGTTTACTATCACTTCACTGTCTGTCTGCCTTCTTAGCATGGGATTTGCTGTGGCAGTTCCACTGGAGGATCGTTCCCTTGCCCGTCGCAATTATACAGAGTTGTATGCAGACCAACTCACAGACGGAACGGCCTGCAGAGATGTGACAGTTATCTATGCCCGTGGCACCGATCAAGAGGGCAATATCGGCGAGCCTACAGATGTTGGCCCAGAGTTCCTCAACGATCTCGGCGTCTATGTTGGCACAAATAGCCTGGCTGTTGCCGGGGTGAACTACTCTGCCAGTGTCGAAGGTTTCGAGGAGGGAGGCGACCCTGAAGGAAGTCAAACCATGGCGGATCTCGCAGCTCTGGTACGTTAGAGATACGAACAAAACATCGAGAAATACTCTTAACCTTTTAATAACCCAGGCTCATACTCAATGCCCCGATACGCTACTCGTCCTGTCTGGTTACAGCCAGGGCTCACAGCTTGTCCATAATGCTGCGAATTTGATCTCCTCCACTGTCACTGACTTCGTAGCCGCTGGTATGTATTTCTCCACGCACCCAAGCCAGATCAACGAGCTCGTTAAAGAACGCTTTCTAATGCCGTAACTTCGGGTGGCTAGTCCTTATGTTCGGAGATCCAGATGATGGTGATGCTGTAGGAGACATCCCAGCTTCCAAAGTGCATACCATCTGCCACCCCCTTGATGGAATCTGTTTGGGAACAGGCATCGTCACACCTGCGCATCTAGACTATCAAGAAGACTCCGACACTGCTGCGATCTGGGTAGCCGACTACTTGGGGTACTCGACCTAACGAAGTAGATACAAGTGTTTATGGACTAGTCCAAGTGTCAAAAAGTGTCCTACACGATACGGGACGCATCACTTCTCCAGAGTTCATGGCTTCATGTATCATTTGTGTACAAATATGAGGCAATAGTAATACATCCCTTGGTCCTGTCTCGGGATCATGCATTTGAAAAGACCCAGGTGACGCGCCTTTGAGCAGACTAGACCCTGCCAATTGAGACGAGGTCATGAATAACAATCCTGTGGTGTAGTCCTCTCCTGGAAAATGCGAAGACAGAGCCTTCTAAAAGTGTCTACCAGGGTAGATCTTCGACTGAAGCGCTTCATTGAGACAGTCCAAACACCATCGGAAAGGAGTCACGGAACGCTGTTCTGCTTATTTGAAGTAAGCATGGACTTGCCGGCGTCGAGATTCGGGCCAGAAGCAGAGATATAGATCCGGTCCGGAGGGCCGGCTCTTCGGAGACGATTCGGAGTAGCCTCCGCATTATCTTCATTATCTTTGACCCCGCCCAAGAGACTGTGCTCTCCATTAATGACACCTCATGAAGAGAATAGAAATTTTCCTCAATCTGGCTTTTGAATTTTCTGCTGTTGGTATAGGCAGCTGACACCTGATTGACGGCGTACTATTACCCACATTGTCACGCGAAAGCTAACTCTCCTTTTGCTAGTTTACGGCACCACTATGCTCGTCCTCCTGCCCTTCCCCGGGGAGGCCGTGACAGATGATCATCCTGTTGCACGACCCAAAATCATGACCTCCAACCCACAGAGCACATACAGGTGTACATCCTTCAGCGGTCAATCGATACTAACACAAACACGCAAGACGATTTCCCAAGTCACGCTTCAGACGCAGCTCGGCCTGTTGAAAAGCACAGGCCGCTACGACTGCTTCAAGTTGAAGTGGCACCCGATATATGACGACCATAGATTCTGGCCGGTTCCGCCCCACCTCTTCTGGGACAGTGACCTCGGGAAGTGGATGGAGGGCGCCATCTATTTTCTCCATCAGCAGTATGACCGCGAACTGGACGAGGCGGTCAAGCATATCGTCGAGACGATAAGGTCGGCGCAAAGCGAAGATGGGTATCTGAACCTGCACTACATGGTGGTAGAGCCAGGGAAGCGGTGGTCGAACATCAGGGATATGCATGAAATGTGAAAATATCTGTGCCCCGATGGAAAAGATCACTGTCTGACATGGCACCAGGTACAACGCCGGCCACCTTCTAGAAGCAGCCATAGCACACCACGATCACTACCAGAATACTGACTTCCTCGACGTGATGACAAAGTACGTCCACCTGATGCACGCCAATTTCGGCCCCGGCCCAACCCAAAGGAAAGCATACCCGGGCCATCCTGAGCTCGAGCTCGCCCTTTTGCGCCTGTATAAGACGACAGGCGACTTCAAAGCCTACTCACTCGCCAAGTTCTTCCTCACGGAGCGCGGAAATCCCAAAGGCCAGCACGGGAAGCACTACTACGACTTTGAGATGGAGCTTCGCGGCGAGGAGGCGCACAAGCGGCCGAATTCCTACCCCATGTCGCGCGACTACTGGTACTGTCAAGCGCACAAGCCCATTCTGGAGCAAGAAACGGTCGAAGGCCATGCAGTACGATCCATGTATCTTCTCACGGCGGTG